ACAACTGTTACTCCACTGCCAAAACTTTATTTCGGTAATAACGTAGCAAGTATAAATATCTTTGCTATTGTTAGGCTTTTTTATTCACGGACGTCGCATTTAATATTGCTTGTCATCTGCACGTGAGCAGTGAGATTTAAGGAGTTGTTTTTTTCTGGTCGTGTGCTAAAGGACAAATCAGTTTCCGAAATTATAAACGGTTCTTTCTGCTACTGTATAAACAGCTCCGCAACGCGGGTTCCGCGTAACACCGAACTTGACTCAGGAAAAAACGGTTGGCACATGCTTGGTTAACGTTAGCATCCAGAGTTCTCCATAGAGTATAAGGGCTATCATAATTTTAAGACAAATTCCTTTTTTATACATTTCTAAAATGATGTTCGTTCTCGATACCGTTTAGGTGATAAAAACTTTGTCATACTGGTCAAAATTTATAACTTTGAAAGAATTAAGTATTCAGCTGAAACGGACATTAACATATTATTTAACAGTATTTGAGAAGTTGATAACTGCTTCAAGGCCTTTAAATTTATTGATGTCAAGAAAGCTTTCTGAGCTTGACAATCAGTCGATTAAAAAAGTTTGTTGCTTTAATGTGTAGAAGTAACGCGCAAACTGGCGCCGACTAACATTTCAGCACTCGCATGCCCAATTGATATAACAGCATAAGTATACTACACAGCAACCACACAAAATACACGATAGCGAGATAACGAAAAGGGAAGGAAATATTGTTGCTTTACGTTGAAAAAGAAACCGTCACAATTTTCAGTTATATAAATTAGCGCCGATGATTGACATAATTTTTGCAGGCTTTGAATTGTTTTTCCATGTATTTAAAGAAAAAAGGAAGGAAATTTGTCTTTTTTTAGAATATCGGTGTTCCTTATACTTTCATGAGAGGCCAAATCTGGCGCCCTTCTTTTCACGAAGTTAATGGTGGGGTTGCTGATCTCCGTTTTTATGCTCTCAGTTAAGAGTGCCTTATTTTAAGTATCTATGAGGAAAGCATAGTATGTAGTTTACTATTTCTTTCTTACAGGGCGGTACTCATTTATCAACCACGGAAGGAAGAAAGGTGAGTGACCTAGCCATGGACTCGAACCCAGGCCTGTAGATTTTGGATCCGATGTTCTACCGACTGAGGAACTCCGATCAATATCACTTCAACAATTGATGCATTTCATTAGTCCAACCGATAGGATCGCCAGGGTGTGTGGAAAAAATGCCCAAAACGTGGCTGAGTCAGAGTCTATTGAGGAAAACTCTGAGCGGGTCAAACCTCAGAGCTGTCACCTGGAATCCTATTGGGCCTTGGCGAAGAGGAAAGGGAGGTTCTCGCCAGCGTAAACAAGTGCAAAAACCATTCGCCAGAAATGACTGAAACGGAAAGTAGAGCAAACCTGTCTTCCAATCCCCTGCGTCAAACTCAGGTCGAACTACCCTGAACGAATGATGGACTTAAGCCGTGACGGATTGGTACAAAAGGGGTTGCAAGCGCTAATTTCAAAGAAATTATCTGAGATGGGACGATAACGTAACAGAAAACTGTGGAAGCCTGCAGCGATAAATTACACGAAAGAAAGTAAAGGGCATCGAGACTTAAGTAATTAATTACTCATTGTCGTTAATTGCAAAGAAAAATCAGCCAATAGTTGTTATGTATGTTAGATCATGTAAAATGTATCTAACAGTCAAGATGGCGTTTGTGTGTTAGCAGAGTTCAAATGAGTCAACTTTGAGCATCGGTCCTGCTGTTGCAGAATTGTGGACATTCAACAGAATTATCGTAGTTTTCAAGCAACAAAATCGCATTTCAATTGGCAGTGACAGGCATTAATTTTTAGTTCTTAAGTTTTGAGTTTATGCTTCATCGCTCAATTGACATAAAATAAACGGTATATGACAATTTATGAAACGGCAAATTTTCTGAGAAAACAAAGTAGTAATAACAGTAGTTACACGTTTTCGTGTTGCATCACTTGGTCGCTTCTACAGCTTCACGTGTCATTCAACTGATTCACAGCTCTGTGATATCTTACCGCCTGTTGGACATCTAATATCATTTATTCATTACAGCTGTGCCTTGCTTTAGTAATAATGAGGCTTCAGGAGCCAATACTCCTTATGTGCCTTTGCAGCAGTTTCAATGCCGTTCTTTAGAATTTTGAAATGTTACTAAATAGAATTCCGTTAGACATCTTTGACGATTCTTGCCATTATAAGATGCAGTTAAGAAATTTATCGATATGAACGCTGTCTTCTTCGCACAAGTTCTCTGTCAATCTACGTTCAAACCAGAGCCAAAGATGATTCATTCTGTCCGCATCGGTTACCCGCGAAATCACGCCTCTAGGCTAACAGCAAAGTATGTTAAATGGCTTCACCTTAGCTGTAGTGCTGGAGACATTTTTGGTCGTGGAACACGACCTCCCACCCAAAGCGACTATCCATGTTAGATTGTTTAAAAATAGTTTGTAGTCGGTTACTGTTTATTTTTTACATGATTTTCCTTAGACTCGAAATTTTGAGTAATGAAAGGTTTATTAGCACGACTTGACTCTTTATCAACCCTCAATACAACCGCTATCAGAACTGTTTTCGTTTCTATCTAGGACGACATTCTCAATCCAAGCACACCCAAATTATGTGAGGGACATTGACCTGAACCCAAACAGAAACTACTATTTAGCAACTGCCGGAGACGACTGTCGCATACTCTTCTGGGATACCAGAGTGGTAAAGCAGCCGATGAAAAGTGTACTCAGTCACTCTCATTGGTAAACGTTTGGCTCGACGTTCAAGTGCTAAACTGGGAATGATATTCAGATATTTTAAGGGTCTGGTCTATAAGGTACAATCCGATTCATGATCAGCTATTCATCAGCAGCGGCAGCGACGCCAGAGTCGTGCTGCATTGCATCGTGTCGATTAGTTCTGAAGCACTAGAAATGGCAGATGCCAGCGAAGAACCAGATTGTCCAAGCAACCAGTTCTCTTTGTATGATTTGATTAATCTGTCTCCTAACAGATCTAACCGCGATATATTCAGATTGACTGATGGAGTAATCCGACGTTACGAAGACCACGAAGAATCTGTTTACTGCTGCGAATGGTCATCTGTAGATCCATGGGTGTTCGCCTCATTGTCGTATGATGGGAGAGTTATAATTAATACGGTACCGAGAAAGATTAAATACAGTATCTTGAATTTATAACTGTTTTGTTTTGTGTTGTAAAATGAAACGATACAATATTATGTGTTTATGCGTCATGCAAAAATTTATTAAAAGCGTTGTATGCAAATTCCACGTCAAACACCATTTGTCTTGCTTGCTCATCGGTCAACTCCTCAGCTGCACGCATCGAATCCAACTTTTCCAGCCTATGCGATAAAAATCATAAAACAAAAACAAACGTATCTATACAACTGTTTTCTTACCAAGAAGAAACTTTAGACTTCCCTTCGAAATCTGATGGAAGTGAACTCATACGATTCATTGTATCAACCAAATCACGAACATCCGGATGAATCTTAAGCAACAAATGTCACTACATCGTAGTACTACACCGCAGTGGTTTCTTAGTCTAAGGACATATTCAGCAGTCAAAGAGCTTATCTTATCAACGGAATGCATGTTTCTCTGAACATTCAGTTCACAACTCCCGGTCGTGTAATAATAATCATTTATAATTATTTAGTATACTGACAAAAGATTAGCAGTGAAGCGTTCTTTTATGATTCTTCAGAATAAGTCGTGCCCTTAAGATCCAATAATCTTAACTAGCAGAGGAGAACTGATATTCATTTTCAGTTTTTGATACAGGACTGAAGCGGCGTAAGCACCGGCGCCTTGCTTCTAGTGGCCTGGGTGTAGGGAAGCATTTAAGCAGGCCACGGATCCATGGTATTTGAAGAGCTGTGGTGCCTGGATGCAAAACTGCATCACTAGGAAATGCCAAACATTGGCCTGTGCGGACACATGCAAATATGCCACGACCCGTAGGCACATTTATGCAGAAAAATAAAACCCAATCTTATGTGTTTTGCAGCATATTGCTAGTTATTGATACCACCGCAATGATATA